GATAATCTGGCTTAATTAATAGCCATAGTAATAATAGTCGTTAATAGCCATAGTATAAAATCCTTGCCACCCTGCTTGAAAACAATCTAATATATATATATATATATATATATATATATATATATATATATATATATATTTACGTTTCGACAGCTACAGATTGGATATATATTGCAGAAGATATTATTTCTTATTTTCTCTATTTATTTACATTTATGGGGAAAAAGATAGAGATGAGCATAATTCACTTCTGCATAAATAAATCTGTCTGAAAAGATGCATGTAATGTTTAATATATATATATATATATATATATTTTTTTTTTTTTTTTTTTTTCATTTTTATTTATTTTTATTTATTTTATTTTTTTTTTTTTTTTTTTCACGAAAGTTATTATAGAATAAACTCAATCATCAAACAGTCAAGAGCTGCACAAATTTTCATCTTTTGATTCACTTTCAGCTAACAAACGCCCACAGACTAGTTCTTAAAATAAAGGTGGACAGAATGCTAATAATGAAACGCTTTGTTTTTCTTCTAATTCATATAGATTTTACGCAAAAATAGATACACAATATAAGTATTAACTTCACAAAAATGCGACGTTTCATTTATTTATTTGTCGAATGATTTTTTAATAGAATTTGTTAGGAGAAACTTATTTGATGTCCCACGTATTATATTTAAAACACATGTGAAAAAAGCACATAAATATCCATTCTGTGTTTTATATACTTACAAACACAAATTTTGTTATTGAACAAATATCACATAATCTTACTTAATCCATTTATAAAATATTTCTTCTTAATTGCGTTTTAAAAATCCAATTTCTTCGAAAAAAAAAAAATACCGATATATGTTATCTATTTAAATTGATTTACTTCTTTAATTGATTACTCTATAATTTATTATCTTAATAATTAAATATTCGTTGAATATTAAAAATACGCATATACCAATCATTCGCGCACAACCGAAACGATTCGGATGTTGTCCGATTGAAGCTTGATAATATACTGAAACAGAATGTTCAAAACAAAAAATAATGAACGCTCTATGCGAAACAAATTCAAGTTTCACATTAAACTGTCTGTCAACAGTCCAACGTCATTAAAAAAAAAAAAAAACAAGTAAGAGTGCTTTAGTCGGGAGAGCCTGACTAGCAGATACCTTGCCTCCTCCTCAAAGATTATCGTATGCAATATAATTATTAAACGCCAACTTAATCTCCCCGTGCTTAATTTCAAAATTTCATTCTTTAATGGGATGAGCGCAAACATACATACATACTTTATGTCGACTTTCTACTCATCAAAAATATATACGTATATCATGGACCTACATTTTTAAGCCTGTTATTCATACATACGCGTAAGCAGAACGAGTATACCTCTTATCCATTATGTTTTTGGTATAAAAATAAACTAAATAAATAAATACAATAACAACAACAAATATACACTTTATCTTTTTAATCGGCATTTACAAGGAATATATTTCGGAGGCAAAATGCAAGTATTGCAGAACCGAAAGTATCAAATGAATATGTATTTTGCAGTTTTTAGAAACTGTAAAGCATATACAACAAATTTGCGTTAATGAAATAAATCATTATAAACATTTTTCGATTTAATTATATATATTCTATAGTATAGACAGATTATAGGTAGATTTCGTAACTGTTATTAGTTTAAATACATAAATTAGCAATACTCGTAATTCTAACTATTGTTAATATTCTTTAACCTACCAAACGCAGAAATTTTCAATTAATTTTAATTATTTTTTTATATATGTCTGTTTTTTTTTTTTTTTTTTTTTTAATTATTTTCATTTATCTCAACTTATTGTTTAGTATTATTGTTTTAAGAACGTAAGAAAGTGAAAAATATTTAGAAATTTTAGATTTCATGTAGAATACAAAACAATGTTGCACGCTTTTGTAATTGGAAACTTGACATTTTCATAAACTGGTAACAAAAATAAAAAAAATAAAAAAAAGAATTTTGTGAAAACGAAACCTCATCATTTTTTGAAATGATATATACATACATACCTATATCAGTGCCAATATACTACTGAACACACCAGAAATAATGTTTGACTGGCTATTAACATATTAGAATAATGTAAATAGTTAAATAAATCACAAATTTAATGATAATTATTTATTTAAAAGCGGATTTATTTAAAACAATAACAATTTAGCAGTGTGTCCAAATAAAATAAATTCAGTTTGTCAGTTTCATTTAAAGAGACACAACTCTGCATACTTTTTTATTAAATACTATGAACACATAAAATACTAAACAGAATATCAAATATATCGACTATCGTTATTAAAATTAAAATGGACCTGAGATAATATATACAAATGTGTAAATTACAGTGCCAAATGAGTATTTCCTAAGATCAGTAGTTAAACCATTTGCAAAGATTGTTGTTCTCAGAAAGTTAACTTTATACAAATCTTTAAACTCCTTACAAATATTTTTTCAAACTCTGATAATTACCATTACTCTTTAATATTGCAGTATTTTTACTTCACAGAAGGCGATAGTCACTCATCGCTATTAAATGCGTTAGTATCGTTCATTTCGATTCGATTCGATTTCATTTCGATTCGATTTCATTTCGAACTGTTTGCATGTAAACAAAATTGGATATTTTGCAAATATTTATGTTGAACAAGAAAAATTATACGATATGGACCAGACTTTACCTGATGATGCCTGGAAAGACTCTTTTGATAGATTGTTGGATCCCCTACCGTATGTCGGACAATATTTTAACTATAAATGTGTACCACTAATAAACAAACCTTATATCCTATTTAGTAATCTACGAGAACTCAACTTAATAAAGAAGAATGTGCGAAAATCATTTAATATGGATTCCAGTGTAGAAAACTCCAATCCAAACATTTTGAGCGTCGATGACTGCTCCTTCCCAAACGCAAGAAATAACCTTACGAATGCTGGTGATAAATTAAGCGTAATAAATAAATTCGGCAACTCCATCTCAACTCCTTTTGCGAAACGCTTTCCCGATAATCTGTTTGATTGTGCGCTATCACCGATAGGTGGTATGAAACTAGATGGATACCTTCCTAAAGATAATCACAAACCGGGTATTATTAGTAAAATTATAAAGGCTAACATAATAATAATGTACTTGAATTCCTTTACGTAAGATCTAGGGAAACTTGGACAACCACGGAAGAGTAAGCAAGTTTATTTTCGTGTGAATACAATCAGCCCTGAAACGTCTATCGATTCATCTTCGATGTCCCAATCTGTACCCACATTGAACGCTCATCAGATATCAAGAAGACAGGCTCGATCTTCACTTGTTCTGCTGCCTGGCAAATGGCGCAAGTCCTTACGTATCTGGTGTCGTACAAACCACAACGAAATATCTGGTCGCACCAGTCCAAAACAATGCTTGAAACCGCGAGATGTAAAATCTGATGATTTGAGAGTTGTTCGGAGAAACTCACGAAAGTCGCAATACATAAATCGTATTTCAGAACATGATTTTCAGATAAACTTCGAAAAGGAAGTGTTAAAGTACTGCGGGCAATCAAAGCCGATTAAATTTAGTGCAGCTTATGCTGCTGCAAAAATGTTGAATACTTGCAAGATTGGCGAGGGAGTTTATGGAGAAGTTTTTAAGTATACTCCAAAGAATAAAATGGTATCTAGTGTAGTCTTAAAGGTGCTCCCGATCGAAGGTTCTAGTTTGGTCAACGAGGAAGCTCAAAAGACTTTTGAACAAATATTGCCTGAAATTATAATTTCTAAAGAGATGAGCGCACTACGAACAAATCAAACGACCTCTACGAGTGGATTTGTGGATTTATACAACGTAACCCTTTCTATAGACACAATATGAATAAATTCAATAACTAATGTATTCAACACAGGTGAACTTGGTCAAAGGAAAATATCCAAAACATTTAATTAGACACTGGGAAGACTATGACAAGGAAAAAGATTCTGAAAATGATAATCCTACGATGTTTTCTGATAACCAGTTATTTATTGTTTTGGAGCTGAAATTTGCTGGCACAGATATGTCATCTTTTGCTTTCCAAAACGCTGAGCAGGGTTATTTTGCAATGCTGCAGGTAAGGTTATATTATCCACAATATTTTAACCATTCAGTGCAATGCAGTTCTGTTATTGTGAAATGAACTTAGCTTCTTTGGTATTAAAAATAAAATTTCTAATTCATAGGTCAATAAATTGAAAAACTTATTTTATATTTAGATTGGCATTAAGTATAGTTATGGTTCCGCCCGAATGCATCTAACTTGATCTTTCTTTTTATTGAATATAAACATTAGGTTACATTTACATTAGCTGTTGGAGAAGAAGCATTTCAATTTGAGCATAGAGACCTACATTGGGGAAACATACTCATTGAGAAAACGATGAAAAAGTTTATTGATTTTAAACTTGGCGGAAAACAGATTTCGGTGGCAACAAAAGGGATTCAAACTACCATTATTGATTACACATTGTCAAGAGTAACTGTTGCTGAATGCTGTCATTATAATGACCTCTCCCAAGATGACGATTTGTTTGCGGCCACGGGAGATTACCAATATGACATTTACCGCATGATGCGAGATGAGCTAAAGTGCGTATAATTAATAGATATTGAGTGAAATAATCGAATTAATTAATATTGTTTAAAGAAATAACTGGTCGGCGTACTCTCCAAAAACCAATGTGCAATGGCTGTCGTATGTTAACTCTAAACTGATAGATGGGGTGAAGTATAACAGTATTAACACAATGGCCCATAAAACTTATTTGAGAAAGCTGAAAGCCTTCAACAACATCGTCCTGAATTTTAACAGCGCAGGAGAATGCGGTCAATATCTATACAACATGAATTAGGCGAAAACAAAATTCGATTCATTTTACATTTATTTTATTGTATCTTAATATTAATTTTCTATATTTTGTAAGAATTTATTATTTATTAGTATATTTTTTAAGTAAACGTGAAAGCTCCTCATTTGCTAAGGGCGGCTAAGTTATAGTGAGCTACAAAGCTTGTTTTAAGCTTTAACTCCCATTCTGTAAAACCGTAAAGCTTTCAGATGGAATTCAGTTCCTGTTCATGGCACGAATCTACAACTGTTGTGCAAAGTGCAGGATTTCCCACAGGCTGATGCGTTCTCTGGTGTAAATAGAAGAAAACAAATACAATTTGAAGCAAGCTAAATTAAGTATAATCGAAAAAGTACGTAGATTATTTTCGCCTTCAATTATAACAATTACTGAAAGAATCGAAACGCAAGTGAATGAAACCGACTCAAAAAATAATAAAAACAAAGAAAAAACTAAAAAATCGATATTGAATCATAATTTAAAATGCATTGCAATTATGAGAAATGGGATATACATATGTGAAATATACTATACTCACGAATGCATTTATAAATGCGCATATATATTTATGTATATACATATGTATATACATATATATATATATATATATATATATATATATATATATATATATATATATATATATATATATATATATATATATATATATATATATATATATAATATAATATATATACATATGTATATATATATGTGTGTGTGTACGCACACATATCCATTTAATACCTATTTACATATGCATTCCTCTGTACGTTTACTCAATGCATACGTACATCCATATGCTTCTGTTTGAAAGTAGGACAGTACTTAAAATGAACTAATTCAAGTGGACAGTTACTAAATAGCTTTAAATAACAACTTACAGTAAACAAGCAAGCAAGTACTGAAATAAAAACAACGGTGAGTAGACATGACTATATATATATATATATATATATGAATATTAAATAAATATTCAAGCAAGTGTACTTGATGTGAAATGTAAACTCTTCAACTACTTACATTGTTTTCATTATCAAGGATTTACGTAGATATGTATGTGTCACCCCTATATATAAATATTAGGGGTTGTTTTACTTAATAGAAAATTTGGCCTGTTTAATTAATATCAATATCAAGTAATATTTTAACTTAAACCTGTTGAAAGATTGGCATATATATATATATATATATATATATATATATATATATATATATATATATATATATATATATATATATATATATATATATATATATATATATACATATATGCAAATATATATAATTTAAAAACATTTACTTTCCGTCCAAATATGTGCCTGCAATTGATGGCTTAGGTAAAGTAATTCAGCAGGATCTTAAGCATTGTAATGACAATTAGTGAATGTCAGCAATAACTTTTTACTGACGATAGGTATATATATAGATAGATACTTCAACAGCAGTTACGTTGTACTGCTTAAAATTTGTTTATTTCAAATAGTTAATAAATGGCTTTTTTTAAATCTCGGCAGACCTTATTTGATTACTTAGCTAGCTTAAGATATTGATACAAAGCCTGTTGGGGTTGAGTCCCCAAAGTATTTTATATTCTCAGCTCAAATCATTTCATGAATAGAATGCTTAATGCTTAAGTTATAATCTACGGCAGAATGCCTTACATTTATTTCCAATTTTATTATGATCCTTCAAAAAATAATTTCATTCTACAAATCATTCGACTATTAGATCATTTAAGGTACAACTAAATGTGTAATGGTCATATATTCATTTTCACTTCTTAGCGAATTGATGATTTATTCAACATTTTAATCATTTATATAATACGGTTTTTACCGGAAAGGTTTAAAATGCATTCTGTGGGTATACACTCTGCCATGGCTATCAAGCGGCAGCGAAAACGTCGCGATGAGCAGAAAAGAGCCAAGGAGAGACGGTATAGCACTCAAAGTTCTGAAAGCGGTGAAACATTCCATTCGCCAAGTGGATCTGTCCGCCGTAAATATCATCATCCACATCATGCTGTCAAACCTGGACCAGGAATGTTGGACAGCCAGGTAAATTTTGATTAGCGTCTATGTAATGAAATGACTTAAAACAAATTTTCCTCCAGGTCGTAACCAGCATCGGAATGCTGCACATTGGCATTGTTTTTATTGTCTTTGGCGTATTTCTTTGTGGAGCTGGAATTATACCAGATGAAGCTATGTCCTGGAATGTATTTAGTAAGTTAGATAGTTAAATATCTTATATGTTAGATGCTCATACACATTTATAACTTGATAGGCTCGAGCTCTGCTTGGTGGAACGAGGTAACATGCACTGGCCTTTTTTCCTTCGGACTAGGCCTATTTTTACTGATTCTAAACTGCCTTATAAGCCGCAAAGAAGAGGAGGACCTTGAAGACTATGTGCAACGGCAGCTTACAAGATCACGCTCTGGTAATAAAAATAATAAAAATGCTGCACTATGCAGTCATATACCATTTGTGTAAACACAAGAAATTGTTCTTGGTCACACTAGCTTTGGCCCTATTTGTCAATTTTGAAGGCACTGGGAATTTTGTAGTACTTTCTGTAATGCTTTCTAAAAAAATATATATAAGTTAAGCGCTCCCACACTAGAGTACTAGTGATTGGGGACGCTGTGTTGGTTCTTGTGAATAGATAACAACAACTAAATCTGTTCAACTGGCTAGGTTCTCCCCTTGTTAGAGCGTTAAATGAAACAACTCCACATTTGCCGAATTCAAGATTGAAACTGAACTGTTTATTGCTTAAAATCCTAGTTCTTATATATCTAACAGAAACCCGTAAAACTACTTCCAGTCACTGGAAGGGTGCATTTTCTCATACAAACAAGTGCACAGATGTTTACTCAAGTATCTCTTTTTTAGATCGCTGGGCCCAGGCTCACGTTACATTTACATATTGGTCGCTGCAACTAAGGGGTGACCTATTTATTACTTTGTGTCGGATAACGCGCAGGCTATCGAGTATTGTCTCTATTTTTATTATAATGTATGTTCATGTTTGAACACCCCTTGAATGTCTGACTGGACTCTCCAGCCTCATTAGATTGTCGAAAGTCTTAACTCTTCTCCATCTAAATATCTGCGTCCCGCAGATCAGGGTGCATATGTCCATTATAATGATATTCATCCAATATAAATTTATTATCCATAGTCGATAGTTCCAGAGTCCATAAATTAGCATAAAGAGGGCCATCGATATCCACCTTCAAGTTAATTCAAAGCATTCATAGCTCCATACATTTAGTATTCATTTGTGGTTATGACAATACATCCAACATTGTAAGCGCATTTATTTCATTCCCTCTGGCATCTCGGAAATCCCTATTACCATGAATGATCGAAACTAGGAAGGTTATACCACGTGTAAAATGCTGTGGATGCTATGGGTGCTAAAGAAGTTAAGGAAGTTAAAAGAGGATTATTACCATTTAATTAATTAAAATGTGAATTTTCCTTTTTTTTTTCTATTTTCTTAAGTGTGATTTATGAAGAATTTTTCCAGTTTTATATGGCTTGGGAAGCCCTCAGGATCCTTTTTGGTGTAAGACCTACTTAGGTGAGGGTGGTTCTACAATCAGCTGGTCTCTCTCTTGCTTTCGTGTCATTTATTTATTTATTTTACTTTTTTCTTTTATGTATTGTTGTCAGACTTATTCTTTTCCGAAAGGGAAGCCCAAAGTATTCCTCTTTGGTTCTAAGACCTACTAGGGTAAGGGTTATTCCACGATCGAATAGAAGGTCTCCGCAATTCATGTTTTTATTTTTGCATATTTATGCTTTGCTTGTTGATTAGAGATTTCCAGATAACCGCCTTTTAATTTCGTTATATAGTTAGTGCTTTAAACTTAACTTTGACCACTAGGTTCCTTTTAATTTATACGGAAACCCATCATTCAACACAGGTGGAAATTGTGACGTTTATTTTTTATGACATTTGTCTTACGGCAAGGATTTGAACCTCGATACGAGAATCAATCTCGTACCACCATTATGCCTGCAAATTTCTTGTATTTTCGTTTTAAGAGTCGTCTCGGCACAGATTTGAGCCTAGGTATTGCCAATACCACCATTTAGCCACGATTTCTTTTATGTTATAGAATTATCTAGTGCACCAACACTTGCTAGAAATTAAGTTATTATTTATTGTATTATGTTATGGCAAGGACTTTCACCCCATTACATTGCAAATCACAGAAGTACTTCGTAATTTTGCCAACAATTGCCCAATTGGATTGGAACAATTTATTTGTACTTGCTTTTTTTAATAAGTTATTTTTATAGAATTATTGACACGTCACCATTTCCCTTTATTTCCGTGAAGAATGTGTGTCCCTGCTCGGGCGCCAGTTAACCGCTCCCACACTAGAGTACTAGTGATTGGGGACGCTGTGTTGGGTTCTTGAGAAGAGATAACAAATTTGTGTTCAATGAAATAATATATTTTATATAATTTGGAACAATAGGTCTAAACTCTCTCTAGTCCTAGTCTCTCTAGTCATTCTCTCCTTGAATGAGTTGCTCTATGCTAATCTCATTCAATGCCTGGCGTTCATAGCGCAATATGTAATTTCAATGATATGCAAGAAAACTAAGCTAACTAACATATCTGAACACTATCAGGACAAGATACAGTTTTCTTACAAATTATTAAATTATGTTAAGTTTTCTTACATATATTCATTTTTAAATTGTGTAAATAAATAATTAATTTATTAATATCATATACCGAATATAATTTACAGGTCACCGACTTGAACGAGATGTCGAGACAGGCGTATTAACCACGCGTCACGCACGAAAAGCTGTTGCATTGCAGAAGAACGGACGGAATGGCTTACCCTCGCCAACGGATGTAGCTGTTGTCCATTGTAGCTCATCGGAGAATATTTCAAATGGTCAGATTGTCGGGCGTAATGGTAATGCAAATCGTCAAGCAAGTTGCTTGAACCTTATAACTTGATCAATTTGTATTCTAATTTGACTGATCAAATAGGTCTAAATAATTCTGGGGATATATTACTCGAAAAAATTGTGGAGGAGGATACACCGTATTTGAACGATCATAGTACAGCTATTTCGCCAATAGAAATCGAAAATGATACAAAACAACTTTTAAGAAGGGAATCAATAACAGATGCAATCAATATAACGCGCATATAAAATGTTTACTTATGAAAACAAAACAAATTTTTTTTTTGTTTTTAATTATTAACGTTAACGTTTAAACAATCTATAAAAATATTTCCAATAGCTCTACGTATATATATATATATATATATATATATACATATATATAATATAACCTTTTTAAATATTTTTTAATATACAGAACTACATTTAAATATTGTATTTAAATTATATACATAAAATGTATTTATTAAAATTTCAAGCTAAAAACAAAAAACTAAAAAGTAAATTCAAAACAGTTAGACAAATTTAAAATATTAATTGATGTATATAAAACTGTGTAAGCATCCGACATACTGCTTTTATATTTATGTGTATCATGATTATCTAGTTTAAGCTATCTATAATGACTTTCTTACTTTCTAAAAAAAAATATATATATATATACATACGTATATCTTAGCTACTTATACATAAGTAATATTAAGTGACTGGACTTTCATAAAAGTATTTCCTTTATAAGTTTAAAGCAACCCACAAATTCTAAGCTGGTAAAAGTTTAGCTAGACATAATAATTTTATAATCATATTTTGGCATTTAATAATTATTTTTATTATTAATATTATGGGGAATAATTTGGCATTTATATTTATGAATAAAATACCCATATATTCGAACATTTCAACAATCCAAATGTTTATACAAATAGTATTATTAATGCTTCACAAATACATATGTATGTATGATTTTAGTTTGTAATTTCAATATAGGGCTGTTACTATTATTTTAAGAATACTTATTTTATATTTGCCAATAATTGGGTGGTTTTCAAAATCAAACAAAGAAATCAATCAATAATTTTATTTTTTTGAAATTCTGAACCAGCAAAGTGCACAACAAAAGAAACAAGACTATTTAAAGTAAACACTCTTTATCTGTATATACATATGTATTTTTTTAGGTTTAGATATACTGAAAAAATTTACATCTAAGCCTAATTTTTATTGCTTTAAAACAAGAATAAAGGAATAAATGATTAACAGAATAAAAATATAAAAAATACAAACAGTTAATTTTCTTATTTATGATAACACCACCAACGCCTAAAAGTTAGCGACTAAAAGTTAAGGTAAGCTGCTGTAGTGCATACGGTTCAATGTAGACTTAAATGGGCTTATAGTACACAAATATTTTATATCAAAATTGATTAAAATAATTAATTTAACTTAAGCTTCAGTCAGCGACAGCTTAGACAGATTCTCATTCACATCCCTCTAAGGTCTTCCAGAATCCGAATGTCCTTATCCTTACTCATGACTATGCTCTTCGCTTCACGGACATCAGCTTCTTTTATATTTATAAAACTCTCAGAACGTTATAATAACATTTAAATGTATAGTATTTGAAATACGCCTTTTATAAATTTATGGGTACGGGGTGGATATAGGGGTCAGTGGTGAATTATACCAAAAATAAAAATTCTATAAGGTATGTACGTAAAGAATTACATTTAAATTTTGGCGACGCTAGCTCTAAAGATGTAGGAGAAATACATATTTTATAACCAATTTTCAAGGTTTTTAATCGATAAAAAATAACAGGAGTAGTCATCGATTTTTGACAGCAAATTTAATCTGCGTCTGATATACACGAACCTAAGAAGATATACATATGTATATATACATATACAGAGGTGGTCAAAAGTATTTACACAACGAACATTTTTCTACATGCTCTGCTTAACGAGCTTTTTTTTGTTGTTTTCGTTCGCCGTTTTTGAAAAAAAGCTTTTGTGACATAAAGCCTATTCTATGTAGAAGCAATCGGCTGAAGAAATTGCTAAAATAGCGGTACATGCTAATAAATAGAGCGAAAAGAAAAATTACTTAGAGGTTGTCAAAAGTATTTACACACATTTTTTTGCGTCTTTAGTATTTACACAAAACTTAAACAATGTTTATTGCTATTGTTTAATGTTATTTCTTTTGGATTTTTGTTTTATATAACTAAGGGCTTATTTATTTAAGTTTGTGTTTAGTTATTTCTGCTTTTACTTCAATTACAGCCCGATGCCTTGCTGGAATTGATGCCACTAAGGATAGGGCAAAGTCAATTGTTAATTTCGACCAAATTTCGGTAATTTCCTTGATGATATCGTCCAGTTTCGGTCCTTGTTGAATAATCTGTTTGATTTCATCATTACCCAAACATTTTCATTTGATAAGGCCCGGACTTTGCGAAAACCAGGGCAGAATGGCTTAGCTTAAGTCCCTCAAAAGCTTTGTGGGTATTGATCCTTTATGGCAAGGAGCATTATTTTGCTGCAGCAGCCAGTCAATAACTAGAAATAGTCTGTTCCCTATGTAAATCATGGTGATTTAATATTGGCAGATATCCTGATTGATTTAGAGTGCCTCCTATTGGCACCAAAGTAAAAGCGTTTTGCTTTAGAGTACATTGAAAAGCCTTTAGATCTTTTGCACAACGTTTTGAGGACAGATGAAGCTGAATTTCAGTTTCACGGGTCATTTGGAAACATCTTCCTGCATTAGTGCCGAAAAAAAAGAAAAATGCAGTGAAGCCTCTTATCTGATTTGGAGGTGGGAAGTAATGTCTTGCCAATAGGAGGCACTCTAAATCAATCAGGATATCTGCCAATATTAAATCACCATGATTTACATAGGGAACAGACTATTTCTAGTTATTGACTGGCTGCTGCAGCAAAATAATGCTCCTTGCCATAAAGGATCAATACCCACAAAGCTTTTGAGGGACTTAAGCTAAGCCATTCTGCCCTGGTTTTCGCAAAGTCCGGGCCTTATCAAATGAAAATGTTTGGGTAATGATGAAATCAAACAGATTATTCAACAAGGACCGAAACTGGACGATATCATCAAGGAAATTACCGAAATTTGGTCGAAATTAACAATTGACTTTGCCCGATCCTTAGTGGCATCAATTCCAGCAAGGCATCGGGCTGTAATTGAAGTAAAAGCAGAAATAACTAAACACAAACTTAAATAAATAAGCCCTTAGTTATATAAAACAAAAATCCAAAAGAAATAACATTAAACAATAGCAATAAACATTGTTTAAGTTTTGTGTAAATACTAAAGACGCAAAAAAAATGTGTGTAAATACTTTTGACAACCTCTAAGTAATTGTTCTTTTCGCTCTATTTATTAGCATGTATCGTTATTTTAGCAATTTCTTCAGCCGATCGCTTCTACATAGAATAGGCTTTATGCCACAAAAGCTTTTTTTCAAAAACGGCGAACGAAAACAACAAAAAAAAGCTCTTTAGGCAGAGCATGTAGAAAAATGTTCGTTGTGTAAATACTTTTGACCACCTCTGTATATATATTCTGAGATCGACACGTCGCTCTAATCAAGAATATATGTATACTTTGTATGGTTAGTGTTTCAGGGTATACAAAACATCAGAAAGACGAAATCGAAAATGGAGTGATTGCTAATGCTGTGGCGACAAAGCTCCCACCATCTTGAGCTTTTAGATCCTCAACATAATTATAAGATAGATAAATTTCCAGATCAACGCGCAAGCACCAATTTCCGATGAGGTGAAATCACACAGTTAACTTAACAAAATCAATAACCAATCAATTTGCAACACAAAATTCAATTTTCTATTTCATATCTCCGTAGCGTATGTCAAGTACATTTTAAAATTTATTATAATTTTTCAGTATCTTTTGGATATAAGAATAAGTCAAATACAATATACTTTATCTTTAAAAAAAATCTTTAATTATATATTTTATAATAATTATATATTATTCCAGCTCACAGAGATTAGAAATTCCATAAATAACATTTTAAATTTAATATAGATAAAAAAAAAATAAATAAAAAAAAGACTCCGATTATAAAAATCTAATGCAGATGAATGCAATGAATAAGCAAAAAGTAAGAAAACAGAGTACTCGACTGCACTATCGTCATTAGCCTATCGATAACAATAAATGTACATTTCTGAATTTCTTAACGAAACCCGATAAAATAATGTTCACAAATAGCTTGATTAAAGTTTATAATCTTTGAATATTAATGCCAGAAAAAGTTAATTAACTCTGCTTCTATTACGATACGATAGAGCAATAAATTTTGTCAATAATGAGTGATGTTGACGAAATTAAAATCGATCTTCCCCCACTTAGCTTTGAAAAATGTATGTCAAATAAACCAATTTTAAGCGAGTTGTATAAATATATACATATATATAAAAATATAATATATATATTGTAGGTCCAGAGAGCGATGGTGAGCGGAATAAGCGAATCGAAATTGAAAAATTAATTGCCGATAACCCTGACGGCAGCATTCCATTAAAGGCGTTGCAAGAGTTGGCCCTTGGCAATTTCGGATTGGTAAACGATGACCTAAGGCGAGTGCTGTGGCCGCAATTGGCAGGCGTTGATGTCACAAATTTGGAACGTGTGCCAACTCTTGATGAGTTGCAAAGCCACCCGGAATTCCATCAAGTTTTGCTAGATGTGAATCGCTCATTGAAGCGATTTCCTCCAGGAATTCCCTACGAGCAGCGTATCGCCCTGCAGGACCAGCTGACAGTGCTCATACTGCGAGTAATCAAAAAGTATCCCAATTTACGGTATTATCAGGGATATCACGATGTCGCCGTAACTTTTCTATTAGTCGCTGGCGAGGAAGTCGCATTTGCAATCATGGAACAACTCTCTACTACCCACTTCTCTGAATGCATGCAGGAAACAATGGAGGCGACCCAGCGACGTCTCATGTTCATTTGGCCGATTGTCCTCTTTGAGCAGCCAGAACTTTTCCACTTTCTACAACGGTCTTCAGTGGGCACCTTGTTTGCCTTGCCCTGGTATCTGACCTGGTTCGGACACAGCTTAAATTCATACAAGGCAGTTGTACGATTATACGATTATTTCCTTGCATCGCCGATGTATACACCGATTTTTGTTACCGCCGCAATTCTATTGCATAGAGCAAATGTTATACTTCAGGAGGACTGTGATATGGCATCAGTGCATTGTCTCTTATCAAAGGTAATCAAGTTAATTAGTTTCTGTATTCTTTCTTAAGCGTCTCCCCCGGTGCAGTCGGCAGAAATCGAATGATGTCTGTTGTAAGGTTGTAGTTTATTTACTAAATAAAGTCAACTTGCAGTTGCCTGATGATTTGCCGTTTGAGGACATTTTAGTCAACTCTAGTAAATTATATGACAAATATAGTTTGACTGTAATCGAAAAGAAAGTAGAAGAACTTATTCAAAATGAGTAAGTACATTACATTGATTTTCAATTGCAATAATAGTTAAACATCTTAACCACTCTTGTCCAACAGGAAAGAACAACGCAAACTAGAGGAAGAACGACGGATTAAGTATCGACGATCTGTTTCTTCTAAATCTAATTATAATGTAAGTAAATGGTTCTTAAGCGTCCTAACGCCAAAATCGGTTATGATGACAACCGCCGTTTCGATTGTCGTTGGAATTTGCGCTTATTACTACAAAAATCAGTATTTGGCCGCGGGTATAAGCTGAGTTTGTGAGTATTTCAGCCCAACGATATTTTTCGTAATACGTTCGGCTTCTGTTCAGCCCAAGTGTGGTTGTATGGTTAAAATTTGCCTTTATTAATTAACTAAGCTGAGCATGGATGTCAAAATGTACATACCCAAAAAGTAAGTACAGTGTTAAAGTAAAGAATAAAAACATTTGTACACTTACATTGTAAAAAATTAAAATTACATTTAATTTTGAATAGTGTATCCAGATCCAAATGTTTATTACTTGTATATAATTTAAATATTTTTAAATGAATTTATAAATATAGCAAAATTAAGTGTATGCATACCTTATAAAAATATAAATAAAATAATATGTAAATTATCATTAATGTGAGTTTTTATTTATTTATTATATTTAATTAAGAATCTTACAATTCGCACAATGTGCGAATGTACCGTTAAAAAAATATCTGCATAATACTAAATAACTAATAATAATAATCCTTAGACAATGAGAGATGTTCTAGTTATAGTACTTAGATATAAAATAGGTCTTAAAAGTAAAAGTCGACCACTTGGAGGATAAGGATAAGATAAAATTCGAAGTGATAGTGAAAGCAAAGACTTTCGTGACTTTAAAATTAGGAGTTATCTATATTTAACATAAATATATCAATTTGCGGCTTATATTTACAAATGCATAAACAGTTTTATCATTATTTAAGTGCTTTATCCCTTTTAAGTGACTTCTCCAAGACCTCAATCATAGCGCAAAGCTTCCTTAAATCCATTTCAAAATATATATTTTCTTGTTTTGAATGTGACTGGCAATGTAAATTTATGGTAGACATTTGTCGAATATTGCTTCTGAAACTGCTGTCTCCCAATATTAAACGTGTATCCCAGGAAAAAGACACAACGCTCTTGATATCCTTCTTCAGGTACTCACTTCTCCTAAGAGCATGTTCGACTGCATCCAATCTTGCAGCGAGCACCAATGGTACAAGCGGTCCTAATTCGGGACTTAAGTGTGGCAACTTATCAGAAATGTCAGTTTCGCCACCATCTGTACAACATTGTTGGTAGTATTTTGAGATCGTTCGTGTAGCCAGTAAGAAGTCGTCAGGATTTTGAAATCCATATTTATGGGAAAAGCGTAGAGCCTGTTGCTCGTTGATGTTTCCAATTAAGAACTCAATGGAGAGATGGAGAACCTAGTAGATAATGAAATGTATTTTATTATTTTATATATAATGCTGCCTGCATTTATACCTCCATAAAAATTTCTTTGTTATTAATACTCTTTAATAACTCCATTTTAATTAAAACTTAACTCATAGTTAAATTAATAAAAGAAATAGCAAAGGTATCGATGCTTCACTTTCAGTACAGTATTAAATGTTGATCAAATTATAACGATACATCGAGCATTTGGACGTTTTCACTTTAAAGTGCTATCGATAAGATTAATGCGGCGTATCCACATTACTGTAGCAAGGAAAAGTGAAAGGATTTTTAATTCTGATAATTTCGGTCTGTTCATTAGGATGTAAACTATTACCACTGGCCAAACAGCACATAGACTAGACATGTAGAGCAACGTTTTTCCACGCCGCAACATGTGTCTAGCAAGTCCCGGCCAACTTCGTATTCGCTTGGCTTGGTATTGGATGGCTCGGGTAATGAAAGATAGCACGACGAATTCAGTGCGCTCTAAGCACGCAAACGAAATGGTCATGTATGCGCTTTGCGTTTTTTGTCTTACTTTCCCCCTCTCTCTCTCTCTCTCTCCCCCTCTCTCACTCTCTCTCTCTCTCTCTCCCCCCTCTCACTCTCTCTCTCTCTCTCTCTCTCTCTCTCTCTCTCTCTCTCTCTCTCTCTCTCTCTCTCTCTCTCTCTCTCTCTCTCTCTCTCTCTCTCTCTCTCTCTCTCTCTCTCTCTCTCTCTCTCTCTCTCTCTCTCTCTCTCTCTCTCTCTCTCTGTGGGCTCTCAAATCATGAAGCTCAGCAGCGCACAAAAATTGAAATTTCTTTCTTCCCAGCTCTTTCATGCCAACCCATTGAAAATGGGAAATCATGGTATAATGGTTTTGTGAAAAAGTATGTAACGGCCAGAAGGAGGCGTGGCAGACCCCACAAAGTATATATATTCTTGATCAGGGCGACGAGCTGAGTCGATTTGGCCCTGTCCGTCTGTCCGTCCGTCCGTCCGTATGAGTGCGTCCATCTCAGAACTTATAAGAGCTAGAGACCTGAATTGGCATGCATACTCGTGTGTACCATACCACTGACCATACGCAGTACGAGTTTGCTTTATTTTTCCGATAAATCATTCCATAACTTTTTTATCGAGAATAATCGAAAAATTGATTTTGTTTTTTTTTAGCCTAATTTCAACACTTTTAGACCTGGAGTCTTCAAATTTGCGTTGTATATAAAGTCGGTACATTTAATGTACTAGAGACTTGTGCTTCGGAATGTACACACATATTCACCATATGATTACGCTCTGAAAGTTTCATTAAGATCGTATGTCTACAAAAGAAATTCAACAAATAAATTCTCATAATATTGCCGACACTACAGCGCAGCCCAAGCGCAGTCGCTGCTTACTGCGCAGTTAGCAGAGCGCAGGCTTATGCGTGCGTGTGTATGTATGTGTGCATAAAAGAAGTGCAGAATGATTAGAATATAAGCTTAGAGGGTTCAGGGTATCTCCTAGTTGAGCAGTCTCGACTGGAGCCTTCTTACTTGTTTTTACTTACTAATATAGTTTAAAGTCTAATTTACCTATTTTCATTTTTTAAAAAATGAATATGCATATTCTTACTGCTTTTATTTCGCTTCAAACTAAAAAATTAAACTTTTTTTCTGTATGTACATATGGAAACGTACTAAGCGGATGCTCTTTCATATAAGTTTGTGTGGGGACCAACCAAGGCATCGAATTTTCGTCGACATAACCGGCTGAACGCTTCTAGCAGAGTTGTTATAGCCAGATTCCACTGTATATGTATGTATATATTATCACTGTTTCACTTGGTTTCCCATAGTCAAAATCCGCCGAAGACATGCTTAAACTTCAAGTAAACAGCAGAGGTAACAGAAAATAGAATTGCTTCCAATATATTAACGACCACTTTATTGGAATATATCTATACTGATATTTACAGGCTCTCGACATCTAAGTTAAAGTATTCGCTGAACTAATTGTAATTTTCTGATCCTTACTCTCGTGTTCAGTAAAAGGTACCATTGATACGCAACCTTCGGGATCATCACGGCTAAATAATTTATAGCTTGTATCGTTAAGATTAATATTTGAAAATCGGTCGAGCACAGGTGCAATCGGTAAGCTGTGATACTGCTCATCATCCGTGCCAAAATAAAGCCTCAGTTGATGTTGTATGTTCTCCTTCTCGTTAGCACGATTCCGCTGAAAGTCTTCCTCAACTCTAATTTAAAAAAAAAAATATATATATATATATATATATATATATATATATATATATATATTTAAAAAATTACTATTATTAGAAAGCTTTAATAAACATTTATTACACTCACTTCTTTAATGCTTCCAGTTGGCCATCTAGTGATACTTTCAGGTTTGAAGACTTTCCAGATTTGTCTGCATTTAATTTTTTCTCTAATAAACGAACAGGGTTATTGAACGAGAAACGGTGATGAAATGGTTTATCTTCTTCCAATTTTAAGCCCTCTTTATTCATACCCTTGAATTAAAAAATTTAATATTTTAATTTAAAAATTATATTTTATATATATTTTAATATATACCTGGATTGGAAAAATTGGAGTTTTATCTTGTAAACTTTGCGGCACAGGTCGCTGTCTGCTTTTGAAATAACGATTTGATTTAGGCTCTTGGATATTGGCTTGCGGTTCTGCTTGATAAATTTTCAACGAATTTGTTGGATCATTACTAGCTGGCAGGTACATCACGTGCTTTCCACCAGTTAAGAACTTAATTGATTGTGGCCCCAATGGAACAAGTCTTTGCCTTTTACTTCCATGCTCCAAACTTTTCGTGTAAGTCTCTGTACCACTGACGTTTTTATGAAGCAACCAATTATTGGAGCATTCCAAATTGGTTGCTGCAATATTTTCCTGCTGATGTAAAGTCGAGTTTCTTTGGTAAGAAGAGGATCCAGCGCTAACACCACTTAAATAATTTTCTGGCTTCGACTTCTGTAGGCTCTTGTAATTGCACACCTTTGAATATAGGCAAGCAAAATTTAATCAAGTAACTATTATTTATTATACTAATACTTTTTTATACATATATCATTTTTATACCCTGAACCCATTTTCAATGGGAATGGGTTTTGTTAAAAGTATGTAACAGGCAGAAGAAGGCGTGGCAGACCCCACAAAGTATATATATTCTTGATCAGGGCGACGAGCAGAGTCGATTTGGCCCTGTCCGTCTGTCCGTCCGTCCGTCCGTATGTATGAACGCGTCGATCTCAGAAGATATAAGATCTAGAGACTTGAAATTTGTTTTCCTAGGTCTGTGTATATCACGCGCATATCAATTTTTTCTCTAAATATCGATAACTACTCTCGATTTTTTATTATCGATTAAAAACCTTATCGAAAGCTAGTTATTTAATTATATCTCCTACACCTTTAGAGCTATAGCTTCCAAATTTTAAATGTAGACATATATATTTTATACTATTTCGATTTTTGTTAAAATTTACCCCCCACTCCTATTTCTGCCCCCTTTGTAAAAGGCGTATTTCAAGTACTAGAGACTTGTGCTTTAAAATGTACATACATTTGAACATTATGATTATATTCTGAAAGTTTCATTAAAATTGTACGTCTAGGAATCAAATTATTCAACAAATAAATTCTTATAATATTGCCCACAATGCACCGCAGCCCAAGCGCAGTCGCTGCTTACTGCGCAGTTAGCAGAGCGCGTTCTAATACGTGCGTGTGTATGCATGTGTGCCTAAAATAAGTGCAGAGTGATTAGAATATCAGATTGGAGGGTTCAGGGTATCTCCTAGTCGAGCAGTCTGTCTATATCAACTCAGCTCGTCGCGCTGATCAAGAATATATATACTTTGTGGGGTCTGCCACGTCTCCTTCTACCCGTTACATACTTTTTCACAAAACCATTATACCCTGATTTCCCATTTTCAATGGGTTCAGGGTATAAAAAAAGTTAAGTTCCTTTATACAGTCGACTCTTGTTATTTCAAACCTGCGGTATTCCGAACCTCTTATTAATTCAAAGTTATCACGAATCCCCTATAAAATCTCTTTATATTTCAAATTAAGTCCATACATTTTTATGCACTCAGTAATTCGAACTAAAAAATCATTGCTAAGACGCGGTAATTTGTACTCATATGGTTAAACACTCGACAATTCGAATTAAGAACTTTGAATTTGAATTTTGGGATTCCCCTGAAACTAACTTTACTGTGCGTGGTTGCGTGTTACGCATAAAACATAGGCACATTTTCATGCTCGCTTCCGCACGAATCGCTTCGTTAGTATACATATTAAAATTTTTAATTAAATGAGTCCTAAAAAGTAAAAAAGTTTGACGATTGCTGAAAAGAAGAAACTAATTGGAAAAGTAGAAGGAGGTGAGAAGAAAAGCGAAGTTGCAAAAGACTATGCTCAATTTCAGTTAAGGTAGCAAGAGCCTCATTGGATAACTTACAAAGCTTTTGTCTACAAAACGAAACTGATGAAACAGCATATCAGGCACTTTTTGTCTTTAAAAAAATTATTGAAAAGTCTGAGCAGAAGCAATGTGCTTCAAAGCAAACCTGTATAAATGAGTTCTTTATAAAGCTTAATTAATTTGAGCATTTGTACATTACGGTAAATAAAAACCCTTGATAATTCGAAGCTTAGATTCCAAAATTTCTGACTTTTCAATCATAATTAATAAATGATAGTTTAATAAATAGCACTATTTGATGTGAATAGTGTTTTCCATTGCTTTATACAAACACTAGCTGGCCCGGCAAACGTTGCATTGCCCTATCTATTATTTCTAGGTAAAAAATTGTTGAAAGCTATGTTGTTCAGGTTGAGATACACTCTGATTAATTTATTATTCGGATTTTCATTCAAGCACCTTGTGGTAAACGACATTCTTTGTTTTTTGGTCAGGTGCAATAACAAATAATGCGGATGGTTTGCCAACACGTGAGCATGCCACGTACAATTGACCATGAGAAAAACACGCATTTTCAAGATTGAGGCCACAAATAGTCAAAGATTGGCCCTGTGGTTTGTTAATCGTCATGGCGAAGGCAAGACGAATCGGGAATTCAATTCGTTTAAGCTCAAAGGGCATATCTGTTGGGATCATCGGAATCCTAGGAATATGAACTTCCTCATCTTTAAATTTTCCTTTGAGTATCGACACGTGAATCACATTGCTCATCAGTTTTCTTATCACCAAACGCGTTCCATTGCACAGTTTTGGTTGGTTTAAATTTAAATTTCTAAGCATGATAACTACCGAGCCAACCTTCAGTTGCACAAAACCACATAAGACAATCGGGAAATATAAATATAAATAATTTACACAAATTTATGTTTGAGACAAACAAATACCTGAACTTTCGATATATTTAGCTTCTGTACGCACGCGTATTATTTTTATCAAATGTGCTTTTTTTTATGAATAGTCAGGTTCGCCTGAGGCTTTGCCGTAGACTGACTGACTACATTTGATTATTTACTTCTATACTATTGTATAATATGAGAGCAGGACCGAAAACTGTCACTGTTATCAAGCCTACTGAGTATCAATGGAAATTTGAATCTTTAGGGAAAAAACCGCGTTTTTCAAGTATTCGTAAAATTTTTTTTAGTATTTTTAAGATCTACTATCCTACTCGTAGCGGAGACAAATCCAACAAATCAAAAACCATGAAAATTGGTCCAGCAGATCTCGAGTTATAAGTGTAGGAGCACTTTTACACAACTCTTTTTATATAATATTTTATAATAGAAGATTAAAGATTAACAAATCAAATCAAACAAATGTATCTTGCTAAGTATAATTCAATTCATAATAATATATATAATGTAATGGAAGAGGAGGTAAACAGATAAATAAATGATATTAATACATACTTCTCCTAGATTGCCAATGCTTCGGGAATGCTGTGTACGAGTATCTCTTGGAAGCGATAGGCTAAAAGTGTGGATGGAACTTCCTACGTTTTTCGCTTTGCCACCATAGAATAGCAAGCTATCGCCTTCACACTTAGAACGATATTCATCCGAACTTGAGTCGTCACCCGTAATAAGGCCTTTGATTTTATCATCCTTCTCATCGGCAAGATCTTGTTCGGGTGTCCAATTGTTAAGAATCTGGTTCGGCTTGGCAAGCTGTTTCATTTGTGAAGTTCGAGTATACTTTATAGGCATCTCACTGGTTGTCGTCTTCCAACTATTAAGAGTATTTATTTTTTTTGACTTATCTATGGGCTCTTGCTGTTCGATCAAGGATCGCCAGGCTAAAGTTGGACTAAACGAAGGTGTATCCACCTGCCGGCGTGGCAAGGTAGGCCGAATACGCACAAGAAGCCCATTGTCATTTAAACTCTCTTCCAAACACGAGTTTTCCCTATAATCAGTGTCATAGTTGGAAACTTCGTCACTTGGCAGTTTTTCTTCAGCTAAAAATATTTTTCTTTCAAGGTATCAAAATTCGTTTTAATTGAAATAAACCAAAAAACTTACCAACATCAATGGAGTGAATACTAACAACATCGGTTTCCATGCCAAAATAAAATGTTCGTTGGCATTTATTTGCTTGAACTGAAACCATTCCATTATCCAAATTTTCTTTTTGAGGTGAAGTCCTCTGTTCAAATTTACTATTTAAAATCTGATTTTTATCCCTTTGATAATCACTAACTTTGCTAATCTGAGGAGTTGCCTTAATTTCAGGCTGAATCGATCTTTGACTTCTTAGCAAAATGGCATCCGAGCTCTTTTCACGCCGAAATGTGAATTTGGGACATTCATGAGAATTGCGTTGGCCGTTAGTTTCATTAACACTTTTACGAATCCCATGGTCTCTGTTTATTAGGAACTCAGTTTGCTTCGGCACTGAGCTCGGGGTTTGTTTGCTAACTTTACGATCTGCATTTTTGGCGTAATGTATGGACTTCGAACTAGGCGTGTTTCGCAAAATCTCCGTATTGTTTTTTATGAGTGGTGCAGCTGCTGTGACTGCTTGGGGTGCCTCGGGAGCTCTTCTCTTTTTCGAATACTTGATCCGATTATTCGCTCTCAATGGCGGTTCTTGTATGTTTGTTGGGACTGCGGGTTGTTGATTAAGGCTATTTATGAGTTCCGGCTCCGAATACGTGTGTCTCTGCATTCGAGATAGATTTGATTCATTTATATTTGACGCAGAGTCCTTCTCTTTCACTTTTATATGAAGCAATGTTTGCGATCGCGTAAATTCGGGCTTTGTACCAGTTTTTTCACTTGAGCCTGAGCTCCTGTCGTGGACAGTTTCAAGCATGAATGTTTTGGATTGTTGATTAAGTAAATTGGACACATTTTGCAGTTGGGTTTCATTTTGTTTTCGGCCGCTTATCGTACCTCCGGAATTCAAAATTGCACCATTCGTTGTAGCTCGGAGATGTAGCCGCTTATCCACCTCCGGCAGTACTTTCAGTGCGCTTTCTATTGGAGAGTTTGATTCTTTCCTTAAAAGTGCAGATGGGTATGATCTTCTCCATTCTGTGGTTAAGCTTCGCTGTGGGCTACTAGGGATAGACCTCAACACAGATCTACTCCATTCAAACTGACGACGTGAGTCCTGGCATCGGTGTTGAAATCGTGTTTGGAAGTGAGCGTTTCGATCGATGCTCGATCTTTCGCTGTTAATATGATGAGCACTACCAGAGTTTCCCATTTTTAATGAATCTGTTAATGATTACTATTTAGTTCAATTATATATCTGAAAGAACATAAATAAAATTTGTTATACTTACAAAGTTTACATTATATGAACTCAATATTGACTTTGATGGTGTACTGATATGCAGATCTGCAGTTACATAAGAGGCAAACAGAACGTTAATTTTTTTATAAATGTAAAACTATTAAATTAATTCTATTAAAAGAATATGAGAGTGAGGGACCGAAAATTAAAGTAAGTGCAGAGGAGAAGCTAAGAAGAGGCGGCTAAGCCAAGAAAGTAGGAGTAGAATTGACACGTACATGGATTAAGGGCAGAAAATACCTCTTCAAGGAATGAAAACATTCAAAACCAACCAAAAATTGCAAATATTATTGAATTATATTCGCTTCAAAATACAAAAATGGAAATTGGCTGAGTCAAACTAATCCAATATGCTAGTCATATCTACAGAAGTCGATCACAGAAACTAAAAGATTAGAAGAGAGCAATTCATTTCGGTATCAAACATTTTTTGTACTACATACAAACATATTTAAACAAGTATGAAAGCTCTAGTCGAGACTGCTCGAGTACGAAATTCCCTGAACCCTACTAAGAATTGATATTTCACAATAATTCTTCACGTCTTTCTGCTTACACAAGAACCTCACATACAGAGAAACATAGGGATGCAAGCATAAACACCCATTGGCTGCATTGGCTTACTATGGAAACTTAACTGGATATAGCGGTGGGGAGTCTACATTTAACATTTGCAGACTCTGCCTCTAAAGGTGTAAGAGATATTATTAACTTGTTTTCAATTAGGGTTTTAATCGATAACGAAATATCGGGAGTAGTTATCAACTTTTGGATTTACATCTTCTGAGATCGACGCGTTCATACAAACGGACATACGGACGGATGGACAGACAGACGGACAAGACTAAATCGACTCAGCTCGTCGCCATGATCAAGAATGTATATACTTGGCGGGGTCTGCCAAGCCTCCTTCTGCCTGTTACATACTTGTTCAGGGTATTAAAAAACACTACAAGTCAGACGAATCAAATCAGTTCGTGCCTATTGCCTATTATCATTTATCTTTTATTATTTTAATGTTATTTCCGTTAACTTTTTGAATTCTTAGTTTATGATATTATCATTTACAGTAGCACGTGAATCACATCAAAGCTTTTAATTCTTCTTTAACTTACACTTACCAAATTAAGTCTATACTATGAGCATTTCGATATTACTCTAATATTTTTTAGATGATTCTCTCAATCGATAAATGGTAAAAAATTTCTTTGCCAAATAAATTTCGAGCACTGACTTAAAAATGATCGCTTTTCGTTAGAAACGTTGCATACATGTACGTAAAACATTAAACGCGTTAGAAGTAGGGATTCACGATTTAATACGTTTGATAAAATACTATTACTGACGAAAATATGCTCATTATTAATTAATCAGGACTTTGCTGTGTCTGTATGATCGAGCTTTAGGAACCGACCAAATTGTTTTCAAATAATCGTTAGCTCCTCCGATATATATAAGGTCCATTCAAATCATTATTGATCAATGTTTTAATTGTTTAATTATATAACTCACTTCGTTTAAGATGCACTTCAGAATTCTTGCATTTACATTTACATTGTTATATTTCATATATTTGATCTTATTGAAATTAGATTTGCAATTGAACCACGAGGCAGTTAGCCTAATTGTTTTCTAACTGACCAACTCTATTACAATGACCGTAATTACAATCGAATTATGACTTTTCATTTCTAGTTAGGGTATCTATATCTTTTCCCAACTAAAGCTTTCATACTTGTTTATAAGTTAGTTTTCCATTTTAATAACGAATTTTCACGAAAATAAGCACATATTTTCAGCTTTCTCTAATATTTTAGAGCCGAATTTTCATGAAAGTTTTGATTTGATGATGATATTATATTATATTTTTTGGTCTCTTGAATATCTTAAGGATGATAACGAAGAAGTGTACACATATAATTTGGTGCATTGTATAAAGCCGAGGTTAAAGCCGAGGTTAGAGAAAATCATGGGATGATATAATAAAATTATATCTGCTTTATCTTTAGAGCTTGAGTCGTCAAATTTTAAATATTAATTCACATGTCTTTTAAAGAATTTCTATTTTCGTTGTAATTTTCCCCCTACCACTATATCTACCACCTCACCACTAAATTTGTAAAAGGCTTATTTAAAATACTAGATACTTGTTATAATCACAATCTGAAAGGTTCATGAAGACAGCCCATCGACAAATTAAGTTCCCGTAGCAAGCACAAACTGCAGCACATGCGTGTTTGTGGGTGCTCGTTTTTGTGTCTGTGTTTCTTTTGTAAGCAGAAAGATGCGAAGAATTATTGAAATATCAGTTCCTCGAAGGGTTCAGGGGATTTCTCCACTAGAGCTTTCTTACTTGCTATTAACTTGATGCATTTTTAATAATTTCGAGGTCAACGTAAACAAATAATTTTGTTTAATGCGTTTGCTTTTGGTTTTAATTATCTGTTGGGTTACCTGATTTGTGTCAATGGAAAGAGCGTATGATCGTAGATTTATTTGTGTGTATGTATATACATAAATGAGCGAGCATGTATGTATATTTGTATGTACGTATGAGCGTAAGTATGTATGTAAGATAAAAAAAATTGTAAAAGCAAGAGTTAAACGAAAAAGCGTCGGTTCATGTCTGCACATCAGGTTAAATTTGAATGAAACCTAAACACTTGTATTGCAACTTTTTCACAAACTTTATTAACTACGTACGAATTTTCCTTAGTATTGTATTAATATTAAACTTTCTTTTCAAAGAAAAATTAACATTTCTCTGTTAGATGTTATTTGTAAGGGCCACTCCATTTGTTTTCGCTATTGTATAGAAATATGCGCACGACTGCCAAAATATGTACATACATTCATATTTTTGTATAAGCAACAAAATTAAATTGTTTTGACTAATTATTTGTGACAATGTATGGGTTTATATTTTAGTATTTATTTATTCTAATTTCTCAAAGTATTGGTCGCTGTTTTCTTTTTTCCGCAGACAACGTAGACAAGAAAGAAACACCGCAATGCGCACAACCGCTTTCACAACATTGATCTCAGCAGTTTGAAACTTTACTTCCATTGTCATTGTAAAAGTAGAGAGTCAAAAGCTTCTTTTCGTGCTGCCGCCAGCAAAGCCGAGTCGCATATACATACATACATATATGTATGTACGTATTTATTGTTGTTTGTTATGCGCTTGTGTCTACACATATGTATGTATGTTTATGTACACGTACATGTTTGTGTTCAACCGGATCTTTTTCGCTCATATTGATTAAAGTACTCAGCTGGTATATAATGATATTCAGAAACATTCCTATGTATGTATGTACATTCATACATATATGTAAAAAAATATATATATTTATATGTATACGTACATATATGTTTGTTAGACATTAATTATTAAAAATAATATTAGTACTTTGAAATACATATGTATATGTACATCTGTATATAGTCGTGTAAAAATAATACTTTTTATACGGACTTATGGATCTTTAGATTCAACGAGCAAATTGAAATGGGTCACGGAATGTGGATCATTTTAGATAAGCTTTAATAAAATAATTCATATCGTCTGGCCTAAATGGTGTACAAATAGGCTTGAAATCTTGTTCCACTTTTTTTTATGACTACTCAAGTTAAAATTGGATTTCAATTATATGAAGAGTAGTTGCCCCATTTTAAGCTAGGCTTGGCCTAGCTTCAATTGGAAAAAAAATGTTAAAAAGCTTATGTTTGAAACTAAACTTTTGGGAACTCCTCTGGCGCTTAGTCAATTGCAAAAACTACTAAGCCAGAGGACGGACTAAAGCTATTGGTGTAAGCTATACGAAAAGAGAAACAAAAAGAAGTGAGCAAGTGAAGCTTACTCTTTGCTCGAAAGCAGAATTGATAAACCTTATTATTATTAGTATTAGTGTAGGATGGTATTGGGTGGTGTAGGATGGTTTAGATATAAGAAATATACTGTATAGGGAATCTTTCTAAAATTCAAATTCAATTCCGCAGACGTACGTAGGACATCATTTAAAATCAATATAAACTTCTTTATTTTGTATATGGACTGGTAAAAAATCAATTTGTTTCGAGGTACATTATTGCCGTAGACTATATAAATAATAATAGTATATATCTATGTATGTTTGTTGAATAAATTTCTTTGATTTTTATTAAAAATAAAAAAATATAACGTTACAATTTCAACATTAAAAAAATTCTACAACTGATTTTACTAATTATAAATTGATAAAATCTTAAACCATTTTAAACTTAAGTAATTTCGTTCAAAAACTCATATTTATTTTTTGTGTAATTTTCATCATCAAAGGAACCGATTAAGACTGAGGACTGCAATTGACGTTGACACTGTCAGTCGGAATCATTTATAGCTTTTTTTCTTTTCTTCGCTGCTTGCGTAATTTTATGTTTTGACCAATCCTCCTGAAATATTCGAATATGTATATAAATAACTGGGAATTAGTTAAAAATGAGTTCTATGCTTACTTCACTAGATGACTCATCAGAGGAGTATATAGCTTTCACGACATCTGAATTCTTTTTACTCCCCGCACTGTGGTTATTTGAGTCTTTTTTACCAGCTGGCTGCTTGCGACCCCGTCCACTGCCCCCTCGTCTGCCAACGGCTGTTGTCTCATCTTCCGCTGCCAATGCGAAAAGATCACTGAACTGTTTCTACTCAGAAAGATAAAGGTATATTAGATATATATACATATATATATATTTTTTTTTTTTCATCACCTTTGTGCTTTCATTGCTATGTGTGTACGCTGATTGTAGTGCCCGCTGCATCATATCGTGGACATATAATCCTGTGCCAGTGCCATGTCTACAACTCCTTCTGTAATGCTCTAAATGGTTTAATACCTTTGCATGAAATAGAAAAAAATAATAATAATACTTTTTTTGAACATAAAATTTATAAATTGGAAACTCACGTGGTCAGCAGATGGAGTACTGCTTGCAGCGGAACTACCTTTAGATGGTCGCTTTCGCTTGTTGGGAGATGAGCTAGGATATTTTGAGGTGAGAAGAGATGCTATAATTTCAGAGAGTTTTTCTTCGCATCGCTGACACCAAAATCTATTCGAAAGAATTCAATTTAATAACATATCTCAGAAATCCACTTAATATATACCTAAGGGCCGATGTGACAAATGGATCTCCTCTAGACTTTGCTTCCCTACTAAGCAATAGTCTGATTATTTCATTTGTAGGCTCTTCGTTCTTTAATAGCAACAGCAAATGACTTAACGCTTCAGGATGATTTGCAGCTTCTAGTTCCGGTAGTATGTCCTGTCGGAAAAGAGAAATTTATATTTTCAGGTTCAAATTGAATACAGGACATGAAACGCATGTCGGATGTTAATATATTTTTTTAAATATTACGTTTGTATACAGGTACAAAATACACACGCATGAGCATGCGCTGTGTGAGCTTACCAAGGGAACTTAAATCTTAAATAACTTTCCTTATAGATGGACTATCGATCTAAAACTGCCAGACAGACAATGTTCACATATGAGTTTTTACAAAGCACACGACTCTACTATTTGAAATACGATTTTAGTAAATTTGGAGAGAACGAAATTCTAAAAAATGCACATTAGTATCTATTTAAAAATTTAAATACTTCAACTCTACAGATTTAGGAGATACAATTTCATAAATAAGGTTCGATAAGGTTTTTGGTCAATAACAATAAAAGAATACAATTATATCTTATTTGTTACCCACTAACAAATTTCAAGGTCTAGCTCATTTACTATTAGAAATCAAAGAGTTCAAAAATATGAACCGACGAGCTGACATACGGACGGGGCTAAACCGACTCAGCTCGTTGCCCTGAATATACATTCTTTACAGAACGTATACGAGTATACGAGGAATATCTGTCATCATTTACAATATTTAATATTTAGTTGACTTACCTGTATACATTTTAGTGGTACATCATGTGCCTGTATAAGCTGCCACAGACAAAACTGTTCGTACGTTTCATATTCTAGGCTTTCACGTATACATTCAATCAAGCCATCTTGCTTAAATATTGTCATTTTGCCCTGGGCAATAGAATACATTATATCGCGTACGTTTTTAGCGTCAACGCAGCGAAGAGTGATACGTAAAAGGTCAGTGTTATTAATGGCTATAGTTTTAAACTCTCTGTAAATATCGGGCAGTAGCCACAAATATATTGTGGTGTTTTCCTTCTCAAGGAGATCAAGGTCTCGGACCAGACAACTGGCAATCTTCCCGTCCGTAGCCTCGCATATTTGCCGATATACTGTCGTCTTAAACTGATACGATTGCTGGGCATTTTTTCGTGTCTGCAATTTGCAGTGAATCTTCATAAAGTATAGAAGCAGATATCCCGTTTCACTCAACCGCTCACATATTTCAGATAATAGACTCTGAAAGGGTTTTTTACTCTTATCTTCATTCTCATACAGAAACCGAAATAAGCCATATAGCGGATAGCTTATGCTCTTAGCCAAACACTTCTCTTCAGTTTTGCTCTCCGAAAACACATTTTGTTGAGGCAATGTTTCCCGGAGAATGAGAACCGTATTTGAGATCACATAATTGAGTTGTGTTTCATCTAAAGTCGAGGCAGGTAAGGTACGAAAATCTTTCAAAAATGCCTCCCATGTGAAAGAGTTGCGTTTTGTAACAAATATCTCGAACGATTCAGCTATTGCCTCAGGCAACTCTACTTTTTCGGGCACTGGTTTCTCTTTAAGACGAACCTTAAATAATATAATTTTAACGTTTTTAATGATTTTGAAACATCAGTGTTCATTTGCGATACTAACTTTTGACAGTGGTAAGTCATCGTCATCGTCAGTATTCTCTTCATTCTTGGTACATCTACCAAGGTTTTCGCCATCTTCATCACTAAATACAGCTTCGGTTTCACGCTCTAAACTTTCAGTTGGAATAGTAGCAACTTTACTATCATCATCCACTAACGAAATGGTGCTACTATTTGCAGCAAGTACTCCGGCACCAACATCGATGTTTTCTGTAAAAAGCAGTAGACGAAAAATAACTATAAGATTAATGTTTAATTTACTAAGAGATTACCAAGACGTTTACCAATTTGCGTTATTCGTTGATCCGCTTCTTTTTTAAAGATAGGCGCCTGAATAGAATGTGTTGCTGGATACATAGTCTGTGGCATATTTGAAACGGGGGACACAAATTCTCTAAAATTCTCACGGATTAGATTACGCAATTCTCTGTCCAGCTTCGGCGACTCAAATAGCGGATGCAAGTTTGGAATGACCTATATTCGGAATTAGATTTCAGTAATCGTTCATTGATAATAAGCAATCATGACTTACCTGTTTATCGAGTATCAACTTTAATGAATTATATACCCCCAATCTTATTTTATCCTCGTTCTTTATATAAAAGTTCTTTGTAATGCGGCACAAGAAGTCGAGCAATGTGCTGCTTACAAAGGGATGATTCCGAATGGAGTGGTACATCACCAAAATGCCGGGCTCGATATTCATGATATTGTCTTTGGCCGGATCGAAAAATAGCCAATCATAGAAGAGTGACAATTTGGCATTAGCCGATGCAATTGGATTCGTACACGATGAGATAAGCCAGCCAATTATGGCCCAACGTGGGATAATATCCGAACACAGCATGTCGTTTGTTGGGTGAATTACGTTTATGATGAAGCGAATTAAGTCAGACCGCAAACTGTGGGACTCGGGTGTTGCAAAATATTTATCCTGAAACCAATCCTGATAGCGTTTCTGATTTCCAAATTTTACGGAAGATGCTAAAAAATGGAGTTTTCGCTCCATTTCTGGAAGTAACCGACATTGTAAAAATCTCCGACTAGTACGTATTTGCAATAAATGCCAAATTCCGTTAAATGTTGGATGCAAGCTTTTTGGATTGTATAATATATCTCGCCATAATTGTTCGAATTCCGGAATGCGTGCAACATTTTGTAATAGCCTGCGCAAAAATTAAAATTAAATTAAATTTTCTTTAGGCAATGAATAAAAAATGTATTTTGTTAAGGCGTTCAATAGTCGTTGAAAAGCTGTTTTCAGAATTTTACAATATCTCTGAATATGCAGCATTACATACATGCATTTTTTATGATATACTTAGACTTACCGTACAAAATCTCTGCCCAACGGTATAATGTCATGAAAGCGATCCCGAATCAAAGAAATTGTGAATTTAACTTCCTTTTGACGTAATGATATCAAGGCTGGATTGGCATGGTCTTCTATAAGGCGCACAAAACTGTAAACTGATGACTGTACAAGGAAAGGATTGGTTTCCAGCCACGCCCTGTACTCGATGAATATATCCAAAAGACTCTCAACGAGGAAGAGATTTTTATGGGACACATCTCCACCTCCCGCTTGACGTAAACAATTCCAAATTACATTCTCGACGCTAAGAACCTGGTGCTTCACAAATTCACGTAATACCCAGATCAATTGTCTCCTGGCTGTCTCCGTTAACTTGGTGTACTTTTCGGCCACTAGAAGTGTAAGATTTGCTACAATTACGTTCATTCCATCCCTAGACACAAGTGTTATGTCCCGATACGTTTTCGGAGCCATTGCCGGATCAGTTAATATGATGTATAGAAAGCCAATAGAAATCTCCTCATGCTGTTTCTCTTTGCAGACAAACTGTGTGAGCATATCATGCATTTCCTTATCACTGAGGCCTGCAATTTGTTGTTGCAGGCTAGCGTAAGATCGTTCGAATTTCTGTTTGTGCAATAAATAAAAAATAAAAGTCTTTGTAAGTGCCCACACTCATATTTAAAATTTTATATGCGAATTTACCTCTTCGATTTCATCTTTACAGTCAACAGCCGTGCAGACAAACAACTTAGAGACGTGAACTGCGCTTTTTTGTTGCTGTTGCTCCATTTGCAAGTGTGGTGTAGATACTATGTTTAAGTAATGTTCCTTATCAGCTGATATGATTTCAGTTCTAATTTAATTTCATAATTACACAAAAATAGAAACTGAAATATTGGAAAACTGAATTCATAAAACTTCATTTATTAAACCATTACTATGTATGTTGGTATTTCTGTTTTGGTTTGTAGACAGAAAAAATATGGTTGCCTAAAACAGGGATGCCATCCATTAAAGTTGCCAGATAAAAGCAAACCTGTGCCACCAGATCTATATAGTTTTAATTGAATTCGTAGTTACAACATGGAAGTATTCGAGTTCTATACTAGTTTGCAGTATTTTAAAATAAGTATTATAAACCAAAAGTTTATTAAATTTGTGAGCTTTATTATTTATTTTAATCATGTTAAGATTTGTCATGTTAAATTAATTAATTTCTTTCGGTTTTATATATAAAATTATAAATATATAAAGGCTAAACAAATAGCATAAATAAACACATTTTCCTAATATTGTCATTATTGATATTTGCTCTTTCTAAATATACTTGTGACAACTAATATCAAAAATACCATATATCGGTTATCGTTCAATTGTAAGTCACTAACAACTATCGCCATACATATTTTTTCTTGTTTGCTTTCGTATATATATATATATATAAAATTAACAAAAAAACAATTCATATTGTGAAATAATCAGACGATGGAGGAGTTGCTAAACGAAGTGGTGCCCCAGGAGGATTTAGAGGTACATAAATATGAATATACAGGCTCTGAACATTTGTAAAATATTTATTTTACAGAGATTCGAAAGGAAGTACCTCCATGAGTTTGAGCTCGATGGGGAAGTCTCAACAGAAACAAAGTTTGAGTACGTAGCTGAATTTGGTCTTTATACAAATGTATATATAAATATGAAACAATATAAATTTGTAGATACGCTTTCTGCTTGGTCCGGAGTCGTTATACAAATGACATTCGGAAGGTGAGTCAGTAATTTATATTGAACAATTGAACTATAAATTGTTTGTGTATGTGTATGTATGAATATCATTTATGCACACCTGAATTTACTACGCCTTTACAATTTTACAATGTGAATCAGGGTATTATGATTTTGGAAGATCTTTGTCGCTTACATCCAGATGGACGACGTGATTATATTTATTATCTTGCCTTTGGAAACGCACGAATTAAAAACTATACAGAAGGCCTAAAGTACTGTAGAGCATTTCTGGATATTGAATCTAATGATCAAGTGCGGTCATTAGAGGTAAGCTTATTATCGAAACAGGCTGGATTACAAATGCAATTTCGTTAATTTTCGTAAATTTTTCTTTGTTATAGGAATACATTAAAAAACAAAGCGATAAGGAGGTTGCAAAGGGCATTGCTGTGGCTGGAGGAGCTGCTCTTGTGCTTGGTGGAATTTTGGGCCTAGGAATTGCGATGGCTAGAAAGTAAACTATAATTTTTAATCCCGACTATTCCGCATCCCACTTATTTCCAAAGACTATATTATCACAAAACAATGATCATTATTTATAAACAGATTTAGATGTAAATACTTTATATTTATATTAAATTAAATGTATTAACTGTCGTTAAAATATTTCTCTTATACTTTTCTTATAGTAAACAAAAACGCGATAAATAGTGTAAAAATATGATAGAGCTCTTACGGAATCCAAATTCCCTCCCAAATGTATACATCCATGTACTATCATTGTGAGGACGTGGTTCAAGCACATAGCGCCAATTATTTAACTTCAGTCTATTTCTCTTAAATGCCCTGTTTAATAATAATTAATTTTTTATTGTCAGTTATACTTTTAGCTAAGTAATTGTTATTAGCAATTTATTATATATAAAACTAATACACTCTGTTCATTACCAAAAAATGATAGTGAAATAAATCATCAAACTATTCTTTTTGTTTCCAATTATTCCCTTCAACTGAAGGGTAATCAATCTTTACATGAAACTTCAAACTTAGCCTGATGTCAGAGTGGCCGCGATAAGCGATGCGATGCTGTAGGCGATAAGTATCGCAGCGATCAGTAAACCATGGCATGTCAGAGTGAAAGAGAGAAATATTGCTTGAATTGCCAAAAAGAATATATTTCACCTACTAACCAACGGTTATTTAAGCTCAGCACGCAACGAAAACACACGTATAAGAAAAGCTTTATTACGCGATAAAGCGAGAAAACATTTCAGAAATGCTTTCTCACAACTCGCTTTACTTTTCGCTTCGCTTGCACTCTGACATGTTTTAAGCGATTACATGTAAACCTGAATGTAGAGCTTTCTCGCCTATTGTCGTTCCATATCGCATCGCTTATCGCGGCTTCTCTGACATCAACCTTAAGCATAACAAGTAAGAAAGCTCTAGTCGAGACTGCTCGACTTCGAGATCCCCTGAACCCTTGGAGCAATAGCAATTCTCAAATTGAAACGCGCAAAAATCGTTCTTTTTAATGCCCAGTCTATGTGCGAGCTGTTTCGACAGGACCACTATTACTAGTTGTTTGATGTTTTCAATAAAATGTAATAAATAACAAAATATATTAAATAATTGAATTACATCATACAATTACCCATATAACCCCAGCCTCATGGTCCAAGAAATTTTCTATTAAACATACAGAAGATAGAAAGCTTCAATCGATCTTCATGACAATCAAGAAAGTTATATGTATATGTACATATGTATGTATGTATATGTCCCGGACTCAAAGTTTTTAATCTCCAAAAAACGATGTAATTACTTAGCACCTGAAATAGCAGGATCACACGTAACCACAGCAGCAAACTAAATACACTGAATGGCTTTGCTATGCAAATTGCGCTTGAATGATGTCGAAGCAATAGGCAAACGTGGTCATAGAGCTTGAATGCTTGGCGCAAGGGTTCAGACTTACTCTTTCACAACCAAGCAGGCAAGTAAATAGACAAGGAGATAGGCAAGTAGCACGCACAGTACACGCCGCCTAAACTTTACAAAATCTTTTCATTCGCCAAATAAAATACATACATCAGTTTTGTATGTTTTTTATATACCCTGAACCCATTTTCAATGGGAAATCAGGCAGAAGGAGGCGTAGCAGACCTCATAAAGTATATATATTCTTGATCAGGGTGACGAGCTGAGTCGATTTGGCCCTGTCCGTCTGTCTGTCCGTATGTATGAACGCGTCGATTTCAGAAGATATAAGAGCTAGAGACTTCAAATTTTTTTTTAAATGTCCGTAATTACAGCGCGGATATCGAGTTTATCATTAAAACTCAATAACTCATCCCGATCTTTTTTTTTTTATCGATAAAAAATCTTATCGAAAACCAGTTATAAAATTATATCTTCTACACCTTTATTGCTAGAGTCTCCAAATTTTTAATGTATGCTTATATGCAATTTATACAATTTCCGTTTTTGTTAAAATTTACCCCCCACCCCTAAATTCACCACCTCACCGTCACTTTTGTAAAAAGCGTATTTAATATAGTAGAGACTTGTGCTTTGGCAATTACATGCATATTCATGTTATAATCGTAATCTGAAAGTTTCATGAAGATCGTGTGTCCACAAAAAAGTTATGAAACAATTAAGTTCTCATAGTAAGCGCTCACTGCCGCCCATGCGTGCTTGCTTGTGTGTGTATGTGTGTATAAATGTTTGTGTATGTGTGTGTGTGTGTATGCCTGTGTGTGCAGTCTCGACTAGAGCTTTCTTACTTGTTTTTTAAATGTCCGTATTTACAGCGCGGATATCGAGCTTATCATTAAAAATCGATAAATCATCCCGATATTTTTATCGATAAAAACCTTATCGAAAGTCAGTTATAAAATTATATCTCCTACATCTTTGGAGCTACAGTCTCCAAATCTTAACTGTATAGTGCATATATATATATGCATTTTATACAATTTCGGGTGTTGTTAATGTGTATGTATGCGTCTGTGTGTATGTATGCCTGTGCGTGCGTGTGTGTGTGTTTCTTGTGTAAGCTGAAAGACGGGAAAAATTATTGAAATAGCTGTTGTTCCGAGGGTTCAGGAGATCTCGTAGTCGAGCAGTCTCGACTAGAGTTTTCTTACTTGTTTTTATCAAACATTTATATTTATTTATAAGTTTGAGTTAATTTTTTATTACTGTTACCCATTCTATGAATATGTACGGTGTACGAAACAGCAAAATAATTGTAAATAAATGCATCCGTTTCCAATAAATAGTTCACACATGATGATATTGCATCAATAATTGATGATTTCCTTAAGAGCGGCTAGGCATCGGTGCTTATCGGGTAAATAGAAAGGTTCGAAAACATGGGGGAATGGTGTGTCCCAGCCAGTGACCCTTTTTATGGGTGCTTCAAGACGTAAAAAGCATTTTTCTTGTATATATGCTGCTAATTCAGAGCCAAACCCTTGAGTAAAAGGCGCTTCATGGGCAATCAAAACGCGTCCAGTTTTATTAGCAGACTATAGGAACGAAAAGATCTTAGAATCCCAATAAATAATGAAAAAAAAAAAAAAAAAACTTACATTGCAAATTGTCTGAGTGTCCCATGGCAAAACGGAAACCAAATCTATAACTTCACAATCTATATCCAGTTCCTTTTTTGCCAGATCTGCGACCTACAAGTAATTAACATAGTCGATATGCCTATTAAAATTGGGGCAAGACTTACCTCCAAAAGGACATGAATTTGTGTACCCCAGCCAATGAGGGTAATATCTTTGCCTTCACGTAAAATATCGCACTTTCCCAAATCATCTGCATAAGATTCCACTGGTACATCCTCCACTGCAGCACGATATAAGGTTTTAGGTTCGAACATAATGCATGGGTTCGGATCTTTTATGCATGCCAACAACAGCCCCTTTGCCTTAATTGGGCCACGTGGAATCTGCAATATATTTTAAATGATTATTTAATAAAATTATTGCTTAATGTACTAAAAGCCTTACCACAACACGTAGACCGGGGGTATGTGCGAAGTATGCCTCGGGACTTTGTGAGTGATATAAAGCCCCATGTCCAACAGCGCCACAAGGAACTCGGAAAGTCAACGAACCGCAGTCGAATAATCCCCCACTTCGATAACGATATTTGGCAGCCTCATTCACGATTTGATCGAAGCTTGGAAATATATAATCAGCAAACTGAATTTCGGCTATTGCAGTAGTGCCAGTATTAGCTACACCAATTGCAAATCTATTTAAGAGCAAACAGGAATATATGATAAAATTCTTTGAAAAATTCAATCAATTTTAATTAATAGCTTAAATTTAAATATAAATATACCCTTTGAAAATATTAGAATAAGATTAAGAATAAGTTTTACGTGAAGCAACCCCTAATAAAGTTCTATTTTTATACTCATTCACGAAAGTGAATCAGTATATTGGTTTTGTGCAATGTCCGTCTTGCTGTCCGTCCGTCTGTCTGACCGTCCTCTGCCATCTATCATTTTAACGCAATCTATTTCGCCGCTATTGAAGCTAGAGACTTGAAATTTGGAACACTTACTCGTGTATATCTCCGATTTATAAAGTGTTTAAATTTTCCTGATCCGCCCACTAGGGGCGTGGCAAATCGGAAAATACATTTTCCGATATACCAGAAATCATGTTTGTTGAAGAGCTAGAAAGCTGAAATTTGGTATGTAGGTCCGCGTTGACCACCCAAGATCACGAGCTATGGCGGATATATCTACGCCCATTGGGGGCGTGGCAAATCGGGTAAAACTGTATCTCCTAAAGTTGTAAACCTAGAATGCTGAAATTTTGCACGTCAGCTAATGGTATGATTCTATAAAGTCTAAAGATAAATTATAAGTCTACGCCCATTGGGGGCGTGGCAAATCGGACCTGAAGATATAGTGATTTTTTAAATTGTCCTATATTTTGGACACTATTGATGGCAGAGACCTCAAATTTTGTATATAAACTCGGACTGATCACCCAAGACCAAAAAGTTTTGTCGGATATATGTCCGCCCACAGGGGGCGTGGCAAACCGCAAAAGTTCATATCTCCTAAAGTATAATAGCTAGAAGCTTCAAATAGTTGAGTTACTGGTAGCCTCCTCTATCGATTCCCCAAAAATAATTTGTACGCCTCTTTAGGGGCGTGGCATATCGAAAAATACCCTGTAATTTTCACATTTTTTGAGGGTAAGCATTCAAACTTTGCAGTTAGGGTACCGTTATCTTTTTCTAAAAACTGACCAAAAATGAGGTGTCTACGCCCAGTTGGGGCGTGGCAAATCGGAAAAACCTGTATATTCTACAGTATTAGAGCGAAACTTAACTACTAAATTGTTGATGGGATGTGAATGAGTATTCCGCAGTCGGTAACGCCCGACTGCAACGTTCTTACTTGTTTCAAATTAGTACTGATAGGGCTTACAGTAAAATAATTTAAAATTACTTAAAAACTTGATCTTAAAGCCGCAGCTACTATTATTATTATGATTAACAACATTACAGTCGGGTCCCATTAGGATACTTCAAAATTAAAGCTAAAAAAAAAAAAAAAAAAAAAAACAAGCAATCTGATCATTGTTTTCGAAATTTCAATTTTATATCCATCCATCACATAAATTTTCTCCGGCTTTTAAGCTCCCTATAAATTAATAGCTAACGGATCTTGGATACGTACCCAGCAATGCCTTGCTCGCACAAGGGTGTATTAAAAACCCGATCTTTTCCGTACTTATCCCTCAAGTTCATAGAACAGCTAATGAAATAAAGAAATTAACATAAGCATGTCAAAAAGTGTATTAAAATATTTAATTGAGTTAATACCGAAAAACTCCACCAAAGCCAACATCTTCTCCAAATAATAATGCTGACGAATCTTGCTCAAGAGCCAGATCCATTGCATTGTTTATGGCTTGGAACATATTCATTTTCTGCACATCGTGGGTGCCCTCAGCTAATTTAGTGGGGTAATATGTGAAATGTGAACGGGTAGAACATCTCGCATTTAACTTTATTGCACTGAGCAATCCCCGGGCCAGAGACGATACTTTCATGATCACTCTTGAAATTAACGGAAAGGATAAGGAAGTAGAAAATCAAGGTCTTTAACACGATTGCGCAACAAAGCATGCAGAATTGGCAGTAAATATACATACGTATGTAAATATGTAAATTTTATGTAGCAATGTATATAATGTACATGTTATCACAATGATCGGGTGGCATTGTGCTGCCAGATCGTTAAGTCTTCGAAAAGACAACATAAAGGGTACTCTCAAATAATTGTTTTTTTTTTATTTATTATTATTTTTTAAATTTAATTGAAGTTTTCAAATAAAAAGAAGTAATCAGAATTTATACATATGTCATAGGAGTTGTTTGATGACCTTTTTCAAACTAATTTCACATTTTAACGCAACCCAAATTTTCGCCTATCGATATATCGATATTTTAACTAAATATAAAATATTAAATATCGGTAATTGCTCATCCCGATAACACCGCGTTGAAAATACCAATAAAAAATATAAATTCCATTTACCCTCTTTATAAAACTTTTTATTTATCAAAAAAGTTGATCTATATTTAAAAATGTCGAAAATTATAGAAATACCAGTACATGCACAGAAGTTGTTGACTATATTTAGAACAATTATACCCAAACTGAGCAATGGAAAGTATAAAGGTCAATATGGTCGAATTGGTGTCATTGGGGGCTCTCTGGAATATACTGGAGCTCCATACTTTGCAGCAATTACTGCTATGAAAGTGGGAGCAGATTTATCACATGTGTTCTGCCATACTAATGCAGCGGCAGTGATTAAATCGTATAGCCCGGACTTAATTGTACACCCAGTCCTGGACCGTGAGGATGCTGTTGAAGAAATAAAGCATTGGTTGGAACGATTACATGTTATAGTATATTTCAATATACTGAAATAATTGTTTACCTCAATTACTAATTAGACACTTTTTTATAGGTAATTGGACCAGGCTTAGGGCGAGATCCTAGCATTCTTAAAACTACAACAGATGTCATTAAGCTTTGTCTGGAAATGAGAAAACCAATTGTCATAGACGCAGATGGGTTGTTCATACTAAATGATAATATCGAGCTAGTATGTGGAAAACGAGATGTGATCTTGACACCTAATGTAATTGAATTCGAAAGATTGTTTGGGAAGGATACCGCGACGGCACACGAAAAGATGTCATTACTCGGTGATGGGGTTGTGGTGCTTGAAAAAGGTGCCCATGATAAAATTCACATACCCCATACTAATGAAGTATACACCATGCCAATCGGTGGATCAGGACGTCGTTGCGGTGGCCAGGGCGATTTGCTTAGTGGATCCCTAGCAACTTTCTTTTATTGGTCTTTGCAATCAAACCAACCCAATCCAGCATATTTGGCGGCTTGTGCCTCTAGCTATTTCGTTAAGAAAATAAATTATGCAGCATTTCAAAAACTAGGCCGTAGCTTGGTTGCTAGTGATATGATAAATGAAATATCCTCAGTCTTTAAAACTGAGTTTGAAAATTCGAGCTCTGATTAGTATATATATAGAATTAACAACCAGTGTAATTATCGATGTTTTCTGGCTTAGAGACCTATTAGTCCGTAACGGCCAATCCCATTGAAAGGTTACGTTAACAGTTTGTTACTAATTCTGTTGAATAATTATATAAGTAAGAAATTACCCAGTGACTGATATTAAATATTTATGAATTTATAACCCATAGAGACAATATTAATTAGTTAGATCGTTAAAAGTCAAGTTCATTTGTCTAGTGCTTAATAAATACTAGTATTAAGAATTAGATTGTCAAGGTGTGCCAAGTAAATTTTACCAAAGTTGGAAATAATTTAATTTACCTTTTTAAAGTATTGACATTAGCTTTTCTTATCAAAAGAAATACGAAACAGTTCGAACATAATAAAATTATAAATTAAACAATATTAAATTGGACTTTTGCTGCTTTTAACTGTTTTAAATTGAACAAAATTTAAATTTCAGTAATTATAGATTTCCCGGTTGCATCTAAAATATAAAAAAAAAATCTTATGGATAATTCTAAAATCTAAATGTTTTATTTCTATCTTTGTTAAGTTTATAAGAAAGGGGTAATGATATTCCGCAGCTGGTATTTTTGTACAATAAATTTGGCGTATTTTAGTACTTTTCGCCATGCATTGGAGTTTTGGATGATACGCTTTTATAACTTATAATGTTGTTGGTTTATTACTTATAGTTTCTTCTTTCTCTGCTCTGCTTATACATACATATGTATATGAATTGGTGTGATTTATAATTGCATATATTGCACAAATTATTTTTTGCTTAGTTAATAAATGATACCTACACGGAAACGAATTTTCATATTGTTATTCTTAATTGCCACACTAGGGATTTTACTGCGAATTCTATCCTATCCTCGGACGCAGTTAGTTTTAAAGGTAAATATTTGATATTTTCCAATGAGTTGGCTGATAGATAATGCAATATTTGTATGTATGTATGAAGTTTACCTACATATACAGTAATATCTAGCCAACCTGCTTGTATACTAATAAAAACAATTTAAACGGTATTTAAAAATGCCTGATATAATAACCATGCTTGAATGAAATTAATAAACTATTTCCTATTTTGCAGGAAGAACCACATTATCGAAGAGCTCCAGGAGCTCCACTGCCCGTATTGGTAACCGTATTTTATGAGGCTCTCTGTCCGGATTCTAAATATTTTATTACTAAGCAATTGCTGACCACGTACAAAGCTGCAGCGCCTATAATGGAGGTGCAACTTGTACCTTATGGCAAGGTATAGCGAAAATAAATATATTATTCTATTATGCTTATCAACAAATTAATTTAAAGGCACACACCACAGTCGATAATGAAGGCAAATTCATATTTGATTGCCAGCACGGTCCGACGGAATGTCAAGCAAATATGTATCATGCATGCGCTTCTGAAGTTATTGATGATGCACTTACTCGACTAGAAGTTGTAACCTGTATGATTCGAGACAATCGAAATCCCAAAGATGCTATGCAAAAGGTTCACTTGCTTCATACATTAATTAAACTCAAAATTACAAATGAGTACCTCCTTTTTTTAGTGTACCAAACAATACAATGTAGAGAATGTTGATCTCATCCAGAAGTGTTTTGATAGCAGCCATGGATCTGAACTAATGAAATTGAACGGTGATGCGACACACGCACTTCGACCCCCAGTAACATTTATTCCAACGATAACATTAGACGGCTCGCAAGGCAACCAGGCTTCCATTTTAAAAGATTTGTTCACTGAGATTTGCAAATCAGCTGGAGGCACTGCGAAGGCGGAAAGTATTTGCAAAAATCGTTAGGTTAATATTAATTAGGACAAAGTACAATTTTTAATGCATTTTTTGTTTTTTGTTTGTGCAACATTTTTATAAACATAAATATAAACGGAAACACAAATATTTGTTTTAAATTAATTATTCGAAACCACTATATACAACATCTTTTTGATATAGATTAGCCTAAACACTGTTGCTGAATTGGATTGTGCTGATACATGAAAACATCTATCTGTTATCTGTCATTGATTCGACGAGCAATCTCTGTATCAACAGAAATTAATATTCGATTGATTTATATGTATTCCAATATCTACGTCAAGAGTGTTGTCTTTAATGATTGTGGGATGCAAGGGTGAGTCCTCAGCAGAACATTCACTGACAATGGAAACTGTAAATTTCTTTATAAGGCAGCTTTTTGAATCACAAAGGCTTAGTGCAAACTCTATTGTTAAATCGCTTCGATTAGTTGCTTCAGTTCTAATACTTTTTGACGATTTATTATTAAGTTGAAGGCTACATTTACCCTCAGCTAATATACCGTTTAATTGATTTATTTCCAATGCTGGATTCAGGAATTTCACCATCCACTTCTGTGGTGCATCCGGAGTAAATTTAAGATCGGATGAGAGTCTCATGCTGAAATTGATGTTGCAGTTTCTATAATGAAGCACAGGAATCTTTTTTACCAACTCTAACCCACTGACTTTTGATAGAGAGCGCGGAGCGTCTGTTTCAGTAGTGTTCGTAATTTGATTAAAGTCCAGTAAAAAAGGTTCAGCTGTGAGTGTCGCTAAATCAATTATATGAATGCCGTGGTTATTTGTATCAGCAACTAGTAATCTGTTTCTATCAGCGTCAACACAAAGGCCAGACGGTTCTCTAAGAGCAAGCGTGCTACCATCTTTGTTTTTGATAGTTAAGGTTGAAATTATATTAGTTTCAGTATCAACTTGTTTGATTTTATGATTATACGTATCAGCCACATATAGCTTCCTATCGACGTTGTTATACGCTACGCCCAATGGATGCTGAAGTTTTGCATTGTACAGTTTGCCGTCTTCGTCTCCAAAAGCAAATAGGTTCTAAAAAATTTTAAAAATTCATGTCATATAAATGCATATAATTGACACATCATTTTATATACCAGAGGATTGCGATCTCCACCAACAACTGGCATTACTTTACCATCGACCATTGAAGCTTTGCGTATACTAGAGCTCTCACTGTCGGCTATATAAAGATAATCACTGGACATGGCCAAGCCAGATGGCTGTGCAAACGCTGCGTTCTGTGGATAGGAGTTGTTTCGGTTTTCCTCAAGCCCATTGCCAATTAGCGAAACGCAACAACGTGGCTCAAACTTTCGAAATTTCCACCAAATAATGCCTTCGGGGAAATAGCCCCAAATCTGATGAGTGCCAGCCATGGCTATCAGCACTATTGTTTTCTCAGGCACATTAAGCTCATCTAGGTGGAAGGACATATCCATGTCCCGGGTGCGAAACACCGACACATCCCACGGCGATGATAGTGGCTGCAATGGCCCCAGTTTTCCACCGGTTCGTTCATTGCCTTGACTACCCGTTCCGGCTAGCGTTTCAACAACTCCGTTGTTCAGGGAAATTTGCCGAAGTGCATGATTATCGGTATCGGCCACTATGAGCGTATTTTTATCAAGAAAGGCAACACCCTGGGGATTATTGAATCGCGACATATTTAAAGAGCCGTCCACAAACCCTGCCTCCAGTCCGCCGATTTTATACTTTACGACCCCACAATTGGTCACCACAATAATCCGATTGTTTCCAGCATCAGCGATAGCATACTGATCTTCTAGCATAGCAATTTTTGCAGGGAAACGTAAATTGGATGCCGGCAAAAGGTCTGTTGACAGCTGTAGTGGTAAGCTGGAGAAGTTCAGTTTTTGTTGGCGATCAAAAAATGATAACGCCGCTCCAGCAAACTCGCGAAGAAACTCACCATGGCCTTCACCCATTAATAACAACATGGGCATCCCGCCTGGACTTAACACCAAAAGCGAAGGCCAACAGCGAATACTTAGAGCTCGCCATAGAGCAGATTTCGAGTCATTAACAATGGGATGTTTAATGCCATAGCGCTGCGCTGCCGACAGAATGTTGGCTGCTGTTCGTTCATTTTCAAATTTCGGACTATGCACGCCAACAACAACAAGTCCACTTTCCACTGGAAATCTCTCTTCCAAAGCTCGAAGCTCTGGCAACACATGCATACAATTAATGCAACAGTAGGTGAAGAAATCCAACACGACTAATTTTCCGCGTAAGCCAGCAAGTGTCAATGGTCTACTGACATTGAACCAATCCAAATCTGTACGAATATGTAGATATATAGATATATACAATTTTTATAGATGTACAAAAGAGAAATCTTGCAACATACCAGTCTCGAATTCAAAATTTAAAGACTTCACCTTTGCAAGGGAACTGTCGTTTGCATCCCATCGTCCCAGAAATTCGTCAAAGATTTTTGCTTTATTGGCACGGTTACTAAGGTAATTTTGCTGCAGCTGTTCAGTTACGAATGTAACGATGTCGATTGCAGAAAATTCCTCCGAGTTGTCCATAATTAAATCAGTTTTATAACGTTTGTATGCCTTGATATGTTAGATACCAACAATACCGAATAGATGAGTTCATTATGTAGAGTACGCCTGTTCCGGTTCACAGCAGGTTCAATTGAATAGATAATTAAAATGAACGACTGAACTTGTTCAGGTGTGTTTCAGAAAACGCAAATTGTTTAGGATCAGCACATTTGAATTCACATAAATCTTGTATAGGCAAATTAAATTATTTTAAATTTGGTTTAGATAAAATGTTTTAGGGAAGAAAGCTTTCTCTAATAATGCAAATGTATGTTAAAGAAATTAATTCATTCCATATAAAAATATATAAGCGTCAACACAGAACAGGTATAGAAATTCTTGGTATGTGTAGAATTACAGCTTTATTCAATATATTTTTTTTATATATGTATATTGTTGCGGAAAACCTTCACACAATCAATATAAATCGGTCCCTATGTAGTCTAAATATGTTTAGTATTTTTATTTTATTTTGATTTTTATTTTTAATTGATTATTTAAGTTTAATTATCTATGGCGCTACGGTCACACTGCCGGTGGTTACATACATACGTATATAGTGCATTGCATAGGCAGGCATATTGCTTTTAGGGGCTTTACTTGTGCCAACAAAATATCACTCGGACGAATTTCGTGATATTATTGTAATATAATTGCTAAATACAACACTCAAAAATCATAACAAATACGTATTATGGAAAAGAGTGAAAAGTGTTTCAAACAATGTCATAAACGGACTAAAGTGTCAAACTCAAAAATAGTTACCAACACCTCAGTTTTGCGAATGCCGCGTGTGAGAGATGGAAAATCAATTGCACGTCCAAAATTATGTGTTACACTGGAGTGTCTACGAGACATAAAAAGCATTTATCTTGCTTTGCTAATTACAATGTTAGCGTTAGAAAATTGTAAATTGGCCCACGGCTCTTTTGAAAATGTCGACTTTGATGGCGTTGCTCCGTTAACAGTGTTAAAACC